TATGTAGGCACTCGATGAGACTGTTGTCTAAATATGCACATAACTTTCTGCTCATATATTAGATCTGCATGATCTTAGCATCTATGCATAGATATGAAAAAGAGCTTTCTAATGTTATAAAGAAAGAATTATCTGGGCATGTTTTGTGGAAGTTATGAAATTGATAATATTACCAACCAACAATCGATCTATCCACCGAATGATGGCTGATTATGTGGCTCGAATTCCATAACTTTCTACTCATATATTAGATCTGGATGATCTTAGAATCTATGCATAGCTATGAAAAAGACCTTTCTAATGTCATAAAGAATGATTGCAAGTTATGAAGTTGATAATATCACCAGCCAACAATCGACCGATCCATCGAATGATGGCTGATTATGTAGCTCGAATTCCGGAACATGAGTCGATGGCTGGCGATTTGAGTCGACAGCTGAATCATGGATCACCTATCGAATGTCGGCTAATAATTTTTGTTGACTTTTAGATCATCGGATTATCAATCGAGAGTTGCATTACGATTTTTGTCGATATGTAAGCACTCGATGAGGCTATTGTCTAAATATGCACATAACTGTCTGCTCGTATATTAGATCTGCTTGATCTTGTCATCTGTGCATAGATATTGTGAGTTTTAGAGTATGAAGTGAGGACGAAAATGAAGAGAGAATGGAGGATTCTTCTTATTCATAATGTGAGAGGTTACATACATTTATAGGACAGATTAGAGACAAAGTATTAAATGCACTAGTTGTTACATGTGTGCATGACAAGCATTTAATGAGGTGCTGTCTTCAATACTTGATTTGTATGATAAAGAGGTGCTGCATGATATCTTCACATTAATGCACCAAGATGATTAGCTCCTGTATTTATTTCGCAGGTTCCTTGTTGTGCAGGTCATCTGATGATGATCCGCCATCTATGTTGTCTTCAACGTCCTTAACAGATATGACAAGGAGCATTCTAATGTTATAAAGAAAGAATTATCTGGGCATGTTTTGTGCAAGTTATGCATGGTTTGGAATTCGAGCCACATAATCAGCCATCATTCGATGGCTAGATCCATTGTTGGCTGGTGATTTTATCAACTTCATAACTTGCCGAATTCCAAACCATGAGGCTATTACTGGCGACTTGAGTCGACAACTGAATCATGGATCACCTATCGAATGACGACTAATAATTTTGGTTGATTTTCATATCATCGGATTATCAATCGAGAGTTGGCTGACGATTTTTGTCGATATGTAAGCACTCGATGAGACTGTTGTCTAAATATGCACATAACTTTCTACTCGTATATTAGATCTCCTTCATCTTGCCATCTGCGCATAGATATGACAAAGGGCATTCAAATGTTATAAAGAAAAAATTATCTGGGCATGTTTTGTGAAAGTTATGAAGTTGATAATATCACCAGCCAACAATCAATCTATCCATCGAATGATGGCTGATTATGTGGCTCGAATTATAGACCATGAGGCTATTGTTGGCGATTTGAGTCGACAGCTGAATCATGGATCACCTATCGAATGACGGAAAATAATTTTGGTTGATTTTCAGATCATCGGATTACCAATCGAGAGTTGGCAGACTGTTGTCTAAATATGCACATAACTTTCTGCTCATATATTAGATCTGCATTATCTTGGCATCTATGCATAACTATGAAAAAGAGCTTTCTAATATTATAAAGAAAGAATTATTTGAGAATGTTTTGTGAAAGTTATGAAGTTAATAATGTTGAAGGTCAAACAAATAAAGATCACAACCAACAAGCACTTTCGAACCATGAAGACGAGATGGAGGTACAGAATTCTCATGCACGGCATGTTCAAGATGAAGATCTGATGGAGAGAAGTTTAGACGAGCCAAACCCAACTACAAGCCCACTCTAAGTCTTTGGGCCGAGATTCCTTCATGCACCTTGGGCCAAATGTCCAAGAAATAAGTTCACCCCACTAAAGAGAAGAAAAGAGCCGTTGGACATCAAGAGGGAAACAAATCAGAAGATTCTTGCACATTTCCTGTTTAGTTTATGGCAATATCACATTGCCTTTTCTTGTAAATTGCATAATCTCTCACTTTCCTTTTCTTTAAGTTGCTCGAGCTGTATATAGAGAATAGGTTTGATATGTTTATTTCTTAAGGAATAAAGTGTTATTCTTTTACAGAATTTCACCCCTTGAACTCTAAGTTCTCTTCTCTCATTCCTTCTCCGTTCTCGGTCACATTGTTCTAAACCGAGCTTGATCTTGATTTCTTTGGTCTGGAATCTCGAAATACTATAAATTCTTTATGGTATCAGAGCTACACGATCATTAATCCTTCTGTTTCACTCAAAAATAAAAAATTCTCTTTCAATCTGCATTCTTGTTGTTCTCCTGTCCATCTCTATCATCCTTATGGATTCTCTATAACTTCATCTTCTGCAGTCTTTTACTACCAATGATACAACCAAATCACTTTGGGATTCCCTGCATAAAGTGTACGTAACCTTTCCAACGTCAGCCGCATTTTTGAATTGAAAAAGAAACTCTTTCATTTGCAGCAGAATGATCAGCCCTTCAACAAGATTCAAGGAGAATTTTGTTCTATATGGGTTGAACTTGAGGAGATAAGACCAACATCTCTCGATCCCCATACTATCGTGGAGCGAGCACAAGAAGACAAGGTTTTCTCGATCCTTACCACTCTTAATGCTTCGTTTAATGATCTGATCTACCATGTACTCAGACAAGAGAAGCTACCTACATTCGAAGAGGTCTGTATGATGGTAAAAAGGGAAGAGGGTGATCGAAATATATTCACTGCACCTCTTGAATTAGCTCATTATGTTCAAAAACCCTCTGCCTCAAACTATCCTCCACGGGATCGCAAATCCTTTTACTGATCATTGCAAACGTCAAGGTCACACCAAGGATCGATGTTGGGTTCTCAACCCTCATTTGAAACCATCAAGGTATAGAGACACACCCCGAAGAGGAGCTGCTATGACTCCTAGTCAACCGATTACACAATCTGACACTGCCCTCAACCTTACATCCGCTGAAATGAAGGGTCTTAAGCATCTCCTCCAATCCTTGGGCACAGAATCTGGTAACAATTCTATTCACTTATCTATTGTTATTGATTCCGGAGCAACAACTCATATGTTTCGAGATCGTTCTTGGTTCACTTCTCTTACACAAAGCATTGGTGTTGTATCTGTTGCTAATGGCAAAACTGTCCCCATTCATGGACATGGCACTATATCCCTATTTGGCAAAAATCTATCCGCCTTATATTGATGAGGTCATCGACCTAACCACGGACACGGATGAGCACAATGGATCGGATGAGAGCAAGGAGTGCATGGAAGAGGAGCTGAGCTCGGAAGCAGAATGCAACAACACCGAGGCTATCTTTCCACCTATGCCGGAACCACCCCTCACACGGTCTAAGACACGAGCATGGCAGGCCAAAGTAAGGACTCTCATGGTCCATTGGATCGAGCAAAACACGAACAAGAAGGACGAAAGAAGCAAGAAGGCGTGGATGATTCTCGGTCTTGCGTTGACCGAGAATATGAGCTGAATTTGTTCTTTGGAGACTTGGCAAATCTGGACCAGCACTTCATCTATATAAGGACAAGTCTCCACATGAATAAGAGGCTTCAAATTTAGGCAAATTTCCACCTCAAAGACACATCAACAATCTGCAACAACAAATAAGGGAATTAGCCAAGATTTCAAGCCTCATCATCAACACAAATAAGGAAGATTCGTGAGCTAGCAAATGACTTGGAAAATCATATCTCCTTCTTGCCAAATCCACTCCTAGCCGTTGGTGATTTAGCAAGAAAAAATCTCGAAGTTTCCTTTTCTAGCTAGAGACAATTTCCATTTCGATCTTTTTCCATTTTTCATGTTGCTGAGTTATTTTCTTTCCTTTTTGCAATCTTCTTCTTTCTCCTATATTAGAGCACGAAATTGTAAGCTTGGAAATCATATTTGAATAAAAAATCTAAGTATTTTCTTGAATTCTCTTGGTTTGTCCGAGGTTTACATTGCTTGGTGTGTCCGAGAGCATACTATCTGTTTTCTCTTCATTTCTTCTGTAATTTTCGACCCTAAAACTTAGAGTGAGTGTCCTAGGACCAGAACCTCAGGTTTGAGTCATTATCCCACGAAAAATCCCAAAACAAGGTCCCTTTTCTTTCCCCATAGTTAACCGAGAAGCCCCTAGGTGAACGAGGTGCGTATCATTTTGGTATCAGAGCCTGGTTCAAGAACCAACGAGGTAGGGATTTACTTCTGCATATTTGTTTCGTATTTGTTTCGTTTTATGCTTTTGTTTTGAAGAAAAAAACTGAAAACACCAAAAAGAATCTACTTCGGCGAAGAGGTAAGTCTGATTCGTCTCATTCCTTTTCAACTTTTACTTTCTGTTTTTCTTTGAATTTTGGTTTGATAATCACTTTAAGAAAAGCCAAAAAGAGTCATGTCGGGAGATGGAGAAAGTAGCAACCAAACCATCCTTCAAGCGTTGCAACAAATCCAAGAACGTTTAACACGTTTAGAATAGATTCCGCGTCGTCCCGAACCAATTCGATTTAACTTTCAAAGAAAAGAAGAAGAACCGCAAAGGGGTCGAGATGATGCACCACAAAACCTTCCTCCAAGGCATAGGGCGGCTCGTGCTCATCGACATCAGATTGATTCGGATGAGGAAGAGGACTACGTGCAAGCACCACAAGTCCAACGAGGTAATGATCCAAAACTTTCAATGCCTACATTCGCGGGTAGAATTAATCCGGATGCCTATCTCGATTGGGAGAGGCGGATGGACAATATTTTCGAATGTTATGAGTATTCGGATCAGAGAAAGGTTAGATACGCAGCGGCACAACTCACCGACAACGCCTTAGCATGGTGGGATCGAGAAATAGCCGAGAGGCGTAGAGCACAATACGAACCTGTCACAACATGGAGAGAGATGAAGTTTATGATGCGTAAGAGGTATGTACCTCCCCATTTTCATCGTGACTTGCAACGCAAATATTGTAACTTGATGCAGGGAACTAGAACCGTTGAAGAGTACTATGAGGAGTTCGAGCACCTACGAAACCGATTGGAGTTAGATGAAAGCGAAGAAGCGATTATGGCACAATTTGTGGATGGATTGCAGGAGCGAATTGCTCGAAAGGTAGAACGATTAGCTTACCATGATTTGCAGGAACTTATCCATTTCTCAATCCAAATCGAGCAGCAAATCGCCAAGAAGCAAGCCCGTTTTAATCGAGCAAGAACAACCTCTTCGAACCAATCATATACACGCGGTGAGAACAAGTCCGGGACTGTTCCAACAACCAAATCAACCCAATCCGAGGTAAATATCCATGACAAAGGGAAATGATTAGCAACATCTTCGGGATCAGGTCCTAAAGGTAACAAATCAACTCCCGTTGAATTACGTTCACGTGAGATTGTTTGCTACAAGTGTAGGAGACGAGGACATTATGCAAAGGACTGTCCAAACAATCGTGTCATGATCCTTACGGATACGGGAGATTATGAATCCCTGGACGAAGAGGAGGTTAATGATGCTGAGGAGAACATAGAGTATCCGGACAGCGGAGAACTCTTGGTCACAAGGCGAGTTTTGAGAAAAATGACAAACCCGAAAGAAACTGCCCAAAGAGAGACAATCTTCCACAGTCGATGCACTATTAGAAACAAGGTATGTGGCCTAATCATTGATAATGGTTCATGTACTAACGTTGCAAGTGCATACATGGTTAAGAAGCTAGGATTGGAGACCGAGAAACATCCACACCCATATAAGCTTCAATGGCTCAACAACCAAGGGGAACTCAAGGTAAATGAGCGGGTCAAAGTGTCATTTAGCATTGGACGTTACCAAGATGAGGTGATGTGTGATGTTGTTCCAATGCAAGCGGGGCACATACTTCTTGGACGACCTTGGCAATTTGACCGAGAGGTGAAACACGACGGTATGACCAACCACTACTCTTTTATATTTAACAAGCCTAAGATATCGTTGGCTCCTCTTAGTCCGTCAAAGGTTCACGAGATTCAAGTTAAGCTCTCCAAAGAAGGAGACAACAACAAAAAGGCGAACTACTACATGAAACCAAGCACGGTAAGTAAAGCTCTACTAGATGAACGTTTGGTTTTACTAATGTTGTACAAGGTAGTGAGCGCAGGATCGGATCAGATTGTATATCCCCTGGAAATTAAGAAGCTCCTAGAGCATTTTTAAGACGTTTTTCCCGAGGAACCACCTGGGGGATTACCACCAATTCGTGGGATCGAACACCAAATCGATCTTGTGCCGGGAGCACCACTTCCAAACCGTCCCGCTTACCGTATGAACCCCGAGGAGACTAAGGAACTCCAAACGCAGGTACAAGATTTATTATCTAAGGGTTATATACGTGAAAGCTTAAGTCCTTGTGCAGTGCCCGTTCTACTCGTGCCAAAGAAGGAGGGGACATGGCGTATGATATCCCCTGGAAATTAAGAAGCTCCTAGAGCATTTTCAAGACGTTTTTCCCGAGGAACCACCTGCGGGATTACCACCAACTCGTGGTATCGAACACCAAATCGATCTTGTGCCGGGAGCACCACTTCCAAACCGTCCCGCTTACCGTATGAACCCCGAGGAGGCTAAGGAACTCCAAACGCAGGTACAAGATTTATTATCTAAGGGTTATATACGTGAAAGCTTAAGTCCTTGTGCAGTGCCCGTTCTACTCGTGCCAAAGAAGGATGGGACATGGCGTATGTGCGTGGATTGTAGAGCGATAAACAACATCACAATCAAATATCGCCATCCAATACCACGACTCGATGATATGTTGGATGAGTTAAGCGGAGCAACCCTCTTTTCAAAAGTCGACTTGAAGAGTGGTTATCATCAAGTCCGCATGCGAGAAGGAGACGAGTGGAAGACCGCATTCAAGACGAAACATGGGCTGTACGAATGGCTCGTCATGCCTTTCGGACTCATCAACGCTCCTAGCACCTTCATGAGGCTTATGAACCATATACTTCGCGCCTTTATCGGTAAATTCGTGGTTGTTTATTTTGATGATATTCTCGTCTATAGCAAGTGTTTATCTGAGCATGTGACACATCTTGAGCTTGTAATGGAGACTCTCTGAAGGGAGAAGCTTTATGCAATTCTCAAGAAGTGCACTTTCTGCACTAATGAAATAGTTTTCCTAGGTTTTGTTGTAAGCTCGCAGGGATTAAGCGTAGATGAGGAGAAGATCAAGGCTATTCGGGAATGGCCAACCCCTACCACCGTCGGACATGTTAGAAGCTTTCATGGCCTAGCTAGCTTCTACCGACGATTCGTTCGTGATTTTAGCACTCTTGCAACCCCCCTCACATCCATCATCAAGAAGGATAAAGTGTGACAACCCAGAGTACCGTAGGAGGGCGGGGAGTGATCGCCGGTGCAGAGGCACGAACAAGGGGCGGCTCTTGACGAGCTTCTGGGTAGGGGGTACAGGGATGAATCGAACACACCGGAATGAGAGAGATCCGAGGGCTGTATAGGTATGGGACTATACGGTCTAAGATAACATAAAAGAATTAGTTAAGCTACTCATAGCAACAAGGTGCACCTACCTTTTTGGTTGACTATCCCGAGAGAACTCCAAAGTTAAGCGTGCTGGCTCTGGAGCAATATCAGGATGGGTGACCTACTCGGAAGTGTCTCGGTATGCGTGCGAGTGAGGATAAAACACGCTGAAAGGTCTCGGGTTGCTGTGTGGGAGCAGTTTCGACAATTCTAGCGGTCTCGGGTCGTTACAGATGGTATCAGAGCCGGTACTCTCCCAGTACGGTGTGGTTCGAGGACGAACCAGGCGGAAGCTGGTGGGCCTGTGACAACCCAGAGTACCGTAGGAGGGCGGGGAGTGATCGCCGGTGCAGAGGCACGAACAAGGGGCGGCTCTTGACGAGCTTCTGGGTAGAGGGTACAGGGATGAATCGAACACACCGGAATGAGAGAGATCCGAGGGCTGTATAGGTATGGGACTATACGGTCTAAGATAACATAAAAGAATTAGTTAAGCTACTCATAGCAACAAGGTGCACCTACCTTTTTGGTTGACTATCCCGAAAGAACTCCAAAGTTAAGCGTGTTGGCTCTGGAGCAATCTCAGGATGGGTGACCTACTGGGAAGTGTCTCGGTATGCGTGCGAGTGAGGACAAAACACACTGAAAGGTCTCGGGTTGCTGTGTGGGGGCAGTTTCGACAATTCTAGCGGTCTCGGGTCGTTACATAAAGCATTCGAGTGGAGAGAAGAACAAGAGAAGGCTTTCGATACCTTAAAGGACAAGCTCACGAGTGCACCCGTCTTAGTCCTTCCCGACTTTGATAAGGTATTCGAAATTGAATGTGATGCGTCCGGAATTGGTATTGGGGCTGTTTTGATGCAGGAGAAATGACCCGTGGCATTCTTTAGCGAGAAACTGAGTGGCGCAAGCTCAACTATCCTACGACAAGGAGCTCTATGCCTTGGTTCGTGCCTTACAAACATGGCAGCACTATCTCTTGGCGAAGGAGTTCATCATTCACACCGACCATGAGACGTTGAAGCATCTCAAAGGCCAATCTACGCTCAAAAGGAGGCATGCTAAGTGGTTGGAGTATGTCGAGACATTTCCGTACGTGATCAAGTACAAAAAAGGAAAAGACAATGTGGTGGCCGATGCGTTGTCAAGGCGGCATGCTTTGATTTCGATCATGGAGGCTAAGATGCTTGGATTCGAGCACATCAAGGGGCTGTACCGTGATGATGTCGAGCTTGGAGACATCTATGAGGAGTGCACTAAGGGAGCTCATGGATCATTCTACAAGGAGGCTGATTATCTCTTTCGGGAAAGGAGGCTATGCATTCCAAAGTGCTCAATGCGGGAGCTTATTTTACAGGAGGCACATAGTGGAGCTCTCATGGGACATTTTGGCGTGGAGAAGACGCTTGCAATCGTCAAAGAGCACTTCTTTTGGCTGCATCTCAAACGGGATGTCGAACGATTTGTCGCTAGATGCATTGCATGCCATCAAGCCAAATCTAAGACACACCCGCACGATTTGTATCTCCCTCTTCCCATTCCTTTATCACCTTGGACTGATATTTGATGGCTCGGATTTTATCTGGATTTTAGACCGAATATGCCTTTGGTTTCTAAACGGTTTCCACACATACTAGGCATATTAGAGCCATCTTTAGGTCTCTGGGGCTAGGTTTTGACCATTGCAGGAACCCGAGGGTTTTCGGGACGAAACGGAGAAGACAGAAGCATAACTCCCCAGATTTTATGGCCAGAACGGACGGTCTGCAAAGCTGGAACGGACGGACTGAGTGCACAGACCCGACAGACCACAAGACAGTCCTGCGAACTACACATCAGAACGGACGGTCTGGATCACAACGCGGAACGGACGTTCTACGTTGCGGAACGGACGTTCTGCGCTTCAGAACGGACGGTCTGCGAAGCTGGAACGGACGGTCTGACGAACTTAACTAACCTGGAACGGATGGTCCACTTGACAGACTCCGCGAAAGCTACGCCGTTTAGCCATTCTTTTCGGGTTTTTGAGGGGGAACCGAAGAGGAGAACCCTAGAATTGATTGGGGGCCGAAAATAGAGACTTTGGGAGAGAAAAGAGGAGCTCTTGGAGGAGAAAGAAGAGGAAGAAGACTCCATTGAAGATTGAAGATTTCTTGAGCATCTCTCTACTCTCTCTCTATGATTTCTGCACTTTACTCTTGTTTTGCTTTGTTCTTGAACATGAGTAGTGAGTAGTCTCTTGTTGTGGGAAGAGGGATTAGCCCTCATGTAAGGATGCTTGTATTCACCTTGGACCCTAGATTATGCTTTGTTTATGCTTTCAAATCCTTGCTTTGAATGAAATTTGTGTTCTTGAAGTTTATCTCTCTTGAATGAATGTTTAGGGGAACCTTGGATTTGTTCAATTGAATGATGCAATTGCTTGGGTTTTGATTGATAGAGGTTGATTGAATGGTATTTAATGTTACCCATTGGATGAGAATCTTGTGGGTAGATTTTAGGATTGTGAATTACATGGAGACATGGATTCTTGGTCTCTTGATGCATTCAATCAATTGGGTTGAAAATTGAATCCGAAGAAATTCGATTCAATTAAATCTAGGATTATGACAAGTGAATGTAATGCATTCGGGATTTCACTCTAGACCATGAAAATGGCTAGAGAGCTCTCTTGGATAGCGGGTTTTCGGTTTGAGAGAACCGAACCCGACCTTAGTCTTCGAATCCCTCACCTTAGAACGAGCATGATATAGGTCCATAATCCTTTACGGCATCCTTGCATGATCGGTGAAACCCGATTCCCATAACCTTCCCCATTGATCATCTTCTCTTGAATTGTGATTGTCTTTGATTTTAGTTTCTTTCATTTAATTTTCTGCAACTTTGAAAACCACAAAAAACCAATTCTCCAATTTTATTTCTAATCCAAAACAAGTCCAGAAAAGTCCAGAGAAATACAAACAGCAAAAATAATAAACAGAAAAATCAAGAAATAAAAGAAATAAGGAAAAATTGACTCAAGAGAAAAATAAAAATCACACAAACACACAAAGAAAAAGGAAGTGAACAAACACACAAAAAATCAAACCGAAAAAAATCAAAGACTCCGGAAAGACTAACCTAGAGTCAATCTATCCTAGCTATGGAAACCGTAATCCTGGACTTTTCCGGGATCGTTCTGGACTTTATCGGGTGTCTCTCCCTACTCTCTGCTTTTTTATTCACTTCGATTCACCTTCTCCGCCTTTTTCTGGACTTTTATTTTTGCAGATTCTCTTAGTGCATGAGTAGACGTCCCACTCGAAGACAACTCGATCCAGATTTTGAGCTTGCCTTTGACCCGGACATAGACAGAACAGAAAGGGAAATCCGCAGAAAACAAAGAGAGGACAGAATGGCAGAAGAGGCAGCAAGGGGTGAAGCACAGCCAAGAGAGCATGTCCGAGCTAATTTGCAGACTTTTGGGATGTACACGACGCCGAAGCATACTCAGTTGCTCTCGTGCATCAATCGACCACCCTTGGATCATTTTGAGCTGCAGCCGCAGTTTATTCAGATGCTGAATCAGATGAGCTTCAGAGGGAGGTATAATGAGGATCCGAATTCTCATCTTACGCAGTTTAAGATGTTGTGTCGAACCATCAAGAAGCCGCCAGGGGTAACAATGGAAGATGCGATGATCGAGGCGTTTCCCTTTTCTTTGATGGACAAGGCGCGGGATTGGCTCTATACCTTGGAGCCAAATTCCATATCTACATGGGATGAGATGGAGGAGAAGTTTATGATGAAATATTACTCTCCCATGAAGACACAGTTGGCGCTGAACAAGATCAACACATTCCAGACGGTCTTGGCCTAAGGCTGATGTCAAAGGTGATGCTAGCGAGTCTTCGGCTTTAAAAGCCGTTCTTTCGGAGCTTTCTGCCATCAAGCTGCAGCTTGCTAGGTCCGGTACATCAAACCCACAGAAGGGTAAACCGGGCATGTACATGTAGGAACAAGCAGAAGAAGCCATGGAAGAAGTTGACTATGTGGGAAGAAATCAATACAACAATCAGTCGAACTTCTACAATCCGGGTAATCGGAATCACCCTGGCTTTTCTTATGGCAACCCGCAAGGAGCGTTAAACCCTCAGCATCAAAGCGGAGCGAAACCTCAGGGACCCCCAGGATTTCAGCCTAGATACCAGAATCAGGGCTACCAGAGCCAGAATCAGGGGTATCAGAATCAGGGCCA